AAGGCAGTCATTTTCTCAGGAGGTTTTCCCCCCTGACCCCTGCTCTCCAGAGAGTCCCCCTTCTGGTATATCAGTTACACACAGCGCTCAGCCCCAGGTCATCACCCTCCCAACACGGCCCCCTGGTGTCTATGGGCCAGGCTTGCCGCTGCCCCTGACCATTGCTTGAAGGCAGAGGGGTTGTGACAAAAGTGAGGTCCCCGCACAAGGCCATGAAGCTGGGGACATGGGCTTGGGCTGAGGCTCTGTCTCAGCCGGGACCGGGCTCTCCCCATCAGGCCGTGTGAGGCTCCCGTCCCCTGGCTTTGCCACTGAGGGCTGGTTCATCGGCTTCGTCAGCGCCATCATTCTCTTGCTCCTCATCTTGCTCATCCTCTGCTTTATCAAGCGCAGCAAGGGTGGCAAGTACTCAGGTAAACCTGACCCCAGTCCACCCTACGTCCCTTCCACAAGTCCTCTTCGGTCCCTGAGCCCCCGACAGGCGGCACGGGCATGCTGGGGCAGGCAGAGGCCCAGAGCCAATGGCAGCCAGCCCCGTGGGAGGTGAGCGGTACACCCTCCAATGTTTCCTGGCTTCTGAGAGCTGCCAGGCCAGTGCTGGGGGAGCTCAGAGCACAGAGAGGGGGAGCCTCACCTGTCCTGCCTGGAGATGGGGCCCAGTACCCAGGGATAGGTGGGGCCGGAGAAGTCAGCTCCCCTCTGTGTGTCTTCAGTAAAGGACAAGGAGGACACCCAGGCGGACTCCGAGGCCCGGCCGATGAAGGATGAGACCTTTGGCGAGTACAGGTGAGCTGGGGGTGGGAGTTTTGCCGACCAACTGCCCAGCACCACCCTTGCTTTCATATCTGACTCTGTCTCTCTCTCTTCTCTGTGCTGCTGGGTGACATCAGGTCCCTGGAGAGGTAAGGCAGGGGTGATGGGAAGATAGTCAGACCCCGATCTCAGAGGCCTTGGCTTGCCAGGCTCTGTGCTCCCCCAGCCTTCTGATCTGGCAGCTCCCTGTTTCAGGCACAAGCCAACACCTCCAACTCCTCTTCTTCTCACTGACACCCAGCTTCTAGACCTGCCTGTCACTTTCCCAACTCCCCCACTCTGGGCTCTGCAAGGGCTAACAGCTGGACAGGTGCCTCCTTGCTCCCTCATATCTGCCAGGGTTCTGGGTATGCTCAAGCCTTGCCCTTCTGGTGGTGTGCGTGCCACTTGCCCTCCAGATGTGTGTCAAGGATGAGAACCTCTTCTCCACTGCATTCAGAGTAAATGGAAGACAGATAGGACCTGGGCCACTGGAGCCCCACCATGTCTCCCAGCCAGGCTTCCTCCATCAGGCTAGTACCTGCCAGCTCTTGCTGGGCCCCACTGGGCAGCTTCCCACTCCCTCTCGCCCTCTGCCCCTGCAGCGACAACGAAGAGAAGGCCTTTGGCAGCAGCCAGCCATCTCTCAATGGAGACATCAAGCCTCTGGGCAGTGACGACAGCCTGGCTGACTATGGGGGCAGTGTGGACGTCCAGTTCAACGAGGATGGCTCTTTCATTGGCCAGTACAGCGGCAAGAAGGAGAAGGAGGCAGCAGGAGGCAACGACAGCTCAGGGGCAGCCTCCCCCATCAACCCTGCAGGGACCCTGGAGTAGTGGGGTTCAGCCAGGCAAGGCAGGCAGGGTGCAACCCAGCCCTGGGCCACAGGGGAGTCCAAGGCCAGGACCCCCAGCCCAATGCCTATTTTGGGTCCGTGACCTTGGGACTGAGGTCCTTCTCTGTCTCCACTAGGCCTCGCCCCACCCTCTGGCCTTGGGCCTATAGGAGGCTTGAGTTGGGAGCAGAAGAGAGGAGCCCACTGCCTAATCCCCTTCTGACTACCCACACCCCACTTTATTGCCAAAACCCAGCTGCACCTCTTGTTGGGCACACGCTGCTTTGCTCCAGCTTGGGAGCCAGCTGATCACTCACACATCAGGAGCCTTCAGGTGCTGCCTTGCCAGCCTTTGAGCAGACAGACCAAGGTGGTTGGGGAGGGGAAGTGGGGATGGCCCCAGAGGGGTCTCCCAGATGCTGCCTAGTGGGATCTCCTCAGGACCAAGATTGACACCATCCCCAGCCACTCCTTGGCCAGCCTGACTGGGACTGAGGATAGAATTCGGTGTCCCCACCATCTGCTCCCTTTTCTTTGCCATCTCTGCTCCAACCAGGATGGAGGCTGGGTAAGCTGGCTATGGGTGCAGAGGAGGCCATCTGGAGAGCTCAGAGTCCGCACTCGCCAGTATCGCCCTCCTCCCACTGCCCACCCCACCCTGTGGCTGGCTTTCAGGAGCTCCATACACACGCTGCCTTCAGTACCCACCAGACAACATCCAAGTGGCCTCCATCACTGCCAGGGTGCGGGGCAGGCACACCTCCCCACTTCCCATGTACCCCGCCTCTCCCAGCCGCTACCACACTAGGACCCCTTAGCAGCCCACTCTCCCCAGTCTGAACAGTTTCCTTCCTCAGCCTTCCCCTCTGCCCACCTTGGAAATGTAAATACACCGTGACTTTGAAAGTTCCTACCCTGCCCTTTCCCCATATGCCACTAGTGTGTAGGCAGATGTCTGAGTCTCTAGGTGGTTTCTAGGTTTTATAGCAATTAGCTTTGATGATCCCATCCCAGGAAAAATAAAAACAGACAAAAAAAAAAAAAAAAAAAAA